TGTCGGGGTGTTTTGTGAGTGATGAAGAAAGAAGGCGTGATGCAATTTTCATCCTCTCACATTTCCGTTACCGCGATGTTTTTGGCATATACTCGCGTGGTAGCTATGCGTCTGAAAGGTCAATGGCCAGCCGATCACTGACATTAACGTGTGCCGCGATGACAACCAGAAGCGTTGGGACTCGGATACCCTGCGTTTCGTATTGAGCCGCCAACAACGCTGATTCGTATGCTCCACAGACGCCCATCAATCACCAGCTGATCTTGAATTATAGGGGGCAATACAACACGCTTGTTCGAAGGCGCAGCACGCATAGACGTCTACATCATGCACATCAAGTAGGATTCTGGGCGCTCCTGGTCGATGCGCGTTTTTGAACCAGGCAATATGCGTCTTTCGCGAGGATCTGACAAAACAGGTCTCGACCGGCAGGGCAGCGAGCGGCTGGTTTTGTCGGTCAGGCCTGTTAGAGGCGAGCGTTGAACAGTGCTGGGTGAGCTGAAACGCTGCGGAGAATGCGTCTGGGGCGTTGGAATTCTCGTCACGATTCCTGAAATAGTGTCAAAGTTTACAGGCATGGCTGATGCCATTCCTGATGATCTCAGTTATCCCATAAATCCCCTTTGCGCAATGCAGGGCCGAATCTCCCCACATCTCGCCCTTGGTACCAGGCGCCTTGGACACATCAACTTCAAACACGGCCTTAACGTGTCAACTTGTCGCCTTCTACTCCCACTTGACCTTCCTTACCACTCATTTAGGCTTCCACGCAAACATCCGTTAAAACATCCTAATAAACCTAAAGTTATTCAGTAGCTTATCTTCCGCCTAAACTTCCATTAAAACACCCACTTAAACTTTCAAAAGCGTTCTTGCACTCCATCGAACAGCCACCTCTTTTCTCAGAATCCTTATATTTATTTTGCCATTTGATCTCGAGGCAAAATATTTCCCTACTCTTGAGAGTGATAAAATAGCGTTCGCCAGTCATAAAAGGCGCCGGCGGTCCGGAAAGCAATATCACCTCCACTTCCATTTAAGAAAGGCGCTAAGCAATGCAGCCGTGATAATATGCAAACAAACGCAATTCACTACTCGACTCAAAACGATATATCTTTATGTTAGATATGTGTTTGAAATGGAACTATACCATGGTATAAGACCATTTCAAACACATTTAAAATATCGTATGTATATACATATAAACGTATGCCTAAGGCTAAGGCAAAATGCCCCCGGGCCTACAAAGCGCCCAAATACTTGGGGGCGGGGGTGGGGGTGGAAGTGCTGCGATTTACACATCCGTATACGATGTCTTTTTTCAAGAAGCAGTGCAGCACAAATACTTGGCTATGTACACTCAGTTCTGGAAAATTCAAGTGCTGCTGGAGGCAATGTATGTCAGCTTCCATTTTTTGAAAAACGGTCAATTAAACGGAATGTTTCACATTTGAAGATATTGAAGCAAGTACATATATGATGAAATAAGCTCGCTTATCACTATTGGTATATTTCTAAGTGGGAAGGAATGCTCTAGACAACACGATGCATTTGTTTAGTAAATGTGCTTTTCGATGCTTTATTGTTTGATTACGTCAACGTAACTAACGCCAAATTGATTGAGAGCCAATTGACGGCGGTTATATTTGGAAATCGCGCTCACGAACGACAGCTATGAGCAGCTCGAAAGTTATACTTTCTTAACCTTCATGATCGTCGCATGGCTACTGAAATGACATTGTGGCAAATGGCGTAATTATGGCGTCATGAATGCCTGAATGACCTTACAGCAGTCTCCCCGAAAAAGTCGACACATCTTCGTGGGCGTGTAGTTCAGAAACTTTAGCGGGTTCAGGTCTCAAGACGGGCATGGCTGTGAACTGCACCGAATGGTCTTCAAGATGGCTATCGCAGTTAAAAACCCCATACAAATGTGGAACACTCCATTTATAGCCTGCTTACTCTGATCTATTAACCTTCACAAATTCATTGCATCACGTGACGCCTCAGGGTCCAGTGAGGGATGCAATTGAACAGCGCCAATAACGGACATGATCAAGGCTGTGACGTAAGCGAATCTCACAACTCCCGTCCAACAGAATACCCCAATTCATACTGGTCGCATTTGACACCGGCTGGCACCGGTACACGCACCGGTTGCATATGACACCGGCCGGTACTGGTATACGCACCGGTCACGTTTGACCCCAGCCGGCACCGGTGCACGCACCGGTCGCATATGATAGCAGCCGGTACCGGTTCACGCACCGGTCGTGTTTGACACTGGCCGGTGCCGGTACACGCACTGGTCGCACATGACACCGGCCGGTACCGGTACACACACCGGCTACGTTTGACACCGGCCGGCACCGGTACACGCACCGGTCGCATATGACACCGGCCGGTACCGGTTCACGCACCGGTCGTGTTTGACACTGGCCGGCACCGGTTCACGCACCGGTCGCATGTGACACCGGCCGGTACCGGTACACACACCGGTTACGTTTGACACCGGCCGGCACCGGTACACGCACCGGTCGCATATGACACCGGCCGGTACCGGTTCACGCACCGGTCGTGTTTGACACTGGCCGGTACCGGTTCACGCACCGGTCGCATGTGACACCGGCCGGTACCGGTACACACACCGGTTACGTTTGACACCGGCCGGCACCGGTGCACGCACCGGTCGTGTTTGACACTGGCCGGCACCGGCTCATGCACCGGTCGCATATCACACCGGCCGGTACCGGTTCATGCACCGGTCGTGTTTGACACTGGTCGGCACCGGCTCATGCACCGGTCGCATATGACACCGGCCGGTACCGGTACACACACCGGTTACGTTTGACACCGGCTGGCACCGGCTCATGCACCGGTCGCATATGACACCGGCCGGTACCGGTACACACACCGGTTACGTTTGACACCGGCCGGCACCGGTACACGCACCGGTCGCATATGACACCGGCCGGTACCGGCACACACACCGGTCACGTTTCACACCGGCTGTTGCCGGTCCCCGTCCCCGTCCCCGGTCGCGTTTCGTCCATGATTATCCGGTGTCGTTGCGTGTCACGCTCCGTGCCGTGAGTCACCGGAGGTCTGCGGCTCCGCCGACGGGCCTTGGTGCGACCGCCGGGAGCTGCGCCGGCCCGGCCCAGCCGACGGGGGCCCGGTGGAAGTGTGTCCCCCCCCCCCCCCTTCTCTCGGCACTAATGGTCCGCCGCGATACTCACCAGGGTAACGTGATACGGGGACAGAAGAGCGAGTCGGGACGCCTCCCCGGGGAGGAGGAACATTGGACGGGGGGGGAGGGGGGCTGGGGCGCTCGGTGTGACGCGGTCCTTTGCGTGGAGGGGCTGCTCGGCAGTCGCAGGTGGAGGTGCCATCATCAGGTATGATAAGGTATTTGAAAACCATCTCTAGTTTGGAGATATTCAGAGTTTTGCGTGTATGTCTCGCCGCGTGAGCACAGTTAATCGGAACACACAGCGCAGTGATCGCACCTATTGCCAGCTCGTCTTACTGTGTTAAATCTTCGTAAATGTAGTCAAATTCGTAAGAAGTGTTGCACAAATGCTCATCTTTTAAATGGAGGCGGTTTAACATTGACTATGATAACATCCACAGTCAAAAATTTCGGACACCATTCACCTCTGATAATGCCCGAAATATTTTCGACATAGCTCAAAATGTCATTACTAATTCATTTTAGTTTTTAGGTTTAATTCTCTCATTCACAAAAGGTCTTCACCGGCGGTCACTGTAGAATGCTCTGAGCAAACCCGCTTCACCCATAGTGCCGGAGCCGAGGCGGTATATTCGCCGGGTTAAATATATCAGGGATGATAAAATGTTACGCTGATATCGCCTTGATGCCTTCGTGATGTACTTGTATAACACCAACATGATGCTGATGCGATACATGATCTGGCGGAACAGATTCCCGGTGTTCCCACGCTTGCTGTTCTGGCGGGACGCCCCAAATAGCGCCATCACACGGGTGGCCCCCCATCCCCCTCCTTTATCCACGTCTTCACATACTGAGACACACCTCCGGTTCGCAAGATGTCGACTATCGGATTAGTGCGATTATCTTTTAAGGTCATTAAGACCATTAAGTTTTCTAGAGAACTTAGATCTGTCCACTGTTTGCACTTACTGAGTGGATGACACCAATGATATGGCGATCGGTCGCAATGCCTTATTTGCCAGCTAATCAAATGGACACAATTACTTGCGGTAGGCCTTTGGCCATCAGGGTCCTCCGAACAAGCTGTTGGTTTGAATTAGTACTCTGGTGATCGATCTGGAAGGGTGACTTCCTTGGGCACTGCTTTCGAGGTCAAAATCTTCGAGTGCATGCCAAAGGAGTTTTTACTGGTAGAAGCTGCAACCCGGATGGCATCGTGGAGCCATAACTTGCCATTCAACCCGCACATTCATCCTACTTTAAAGAATATTGCAATCTCATTTTAAGTTGCAGGCTGCAACGTTGCGATTGCTTAGATCCTCCGAACGGGCCTGCTATTGAGGTCTCACAATATCTCAATCCAATCTTCCTTATTTCCGGACAGATATTAAACAAATAATAACACCAACTGGACTGCCGGCTGATGAATGTCATGCATCCGACGCAGCGCGTCTCAGCCGCAGAGAGGCAATCAGCTTCCAGACTTCACTTCCAAAGACAATATCGACTTGTTCTAACTGCTCTGTCGGTTCTGAACAATTTCAATCAAAGACATGCTGCCAGCACGGCAGCGCGTTATAACGTTTCACTCCACGGCGCACCAATGCCATCGCACCCCGCTGACTCTCCAGTGTCTAATTTCAACGCCGAATCCCACGCCAGCGCTCCGGCCCCAAATAAAACGCTCCAGCAGCAGTGCAGCGGGCCGAAGCGCCGGGCAGGACCGATCGGTCCTAGCTCAGCTGAGGGGGAGAGCATCGGGCGGCGGGCGGCCGGTTCCCCACCCCGCACCTCGACTACTCACCACGTCGATGAGCTGCGAGAGCTTGAGCTTGATGAACACCTGCAGCTTGTCCGTGTTGTTCACCACGGGCCGCACCAGCTTGTTGTAGTTGGAGAGCAGGTGGTCGTAGAGGCGCGACGCGTCCGAGTTGGCGGCGGTCAGCGCGCCGCCCAGCGCCACCAGCAGCAGCAGGCTGGCGCCCCGGGGCGCCATCGCGAGCTGTCAGGGCGTCGCCCCCGTCAGCATCACCGTCAGACGTCGCCCGCCGCTGCGGCCGTCAGTGGCGACACGGCGCCGATTTTGGGGGACCCGGTGGTGGATCCCGATCAATGACGCCGCTCGGCGTGGCCATGGGCGCGGCGCGGCCGCCGTCCGACCGCGACCGACGGCGCCCCGCGACTCCGCCGCCAGCGACGGCGCGCCGCCGGCGCCGCCGGCCGCCCGCCGCGGCACGGCGCGCCCGCGGGTCGTCGCTGTCTGGCAATCGCTCAGCGAGGCGGGGACGAGGGGTCGCGGCTGACGGAGCGGTGCTAGGTTAGGGACGAATCGGAGCACACGCTCGGCCGTCAGTGGCGCTGTTGCTGAGGTGTTATGGTGAACACTCGCGCAATCATGACGATGAGTGAAAACACGTCCGATCGTCAGGGGTGCAATTCTCTTTCCAATCAGGGGACTCTAGCTTTCCCAACTAGGGCTCCAGCCCCTCCCCCCCAAGCTTGGGAAGGGAGTAGGTCAAATCCGGAAAAATACCAGTCTGCTCGACATTTTGGGGTGGTTGTGTACCATTTCACAGTTCAGCCACCGCCTCTCCCTATCCTCATCTCATCGTGCGGAACCATGCCCCTGCTGACGATAGGTGTAAGAGCAAGCATCGTCTAACCTTCAGTAGGGTAGACAGTGTTCCACATTTGTATGGGCTTTGAACTGAAAAGGCCATCTTGAATATCGTTCAGTGCAGTTCACGGTCCTGCCCTTCCTAAGGCCCAAACCACGCCTAGTTTCTGGCTACACGCCCGTGAAAATGTGCCGACTATTTCAGGGAGACTATTTCGAGGTCGCCCAGACATTCACGACGTCATAATTACGTCATTCAAATCCTGTCATTTCATCAGCCACGTGGCCATCAGGGCCAATAAAAATATAATTGTCGAGTCGTACATATCTGGCCTTCGCGAGCACGATTTACAAATATAACAGCCGTCAATTGACTCTCAATCAGTGTTGTGCAAGGTGCGATGACGTAAACAATAACGCATTGAGGAGCATATTTACAAAACTGAAAAACTTTGTCATCTAGAGGAGTCTTTTCCACTTAAAGGTATACCAATAGTTAAAAGGGATCTTATTTCGCCATACCTGATGCTTTCTAGAATATTTTCCGCCGTGGAACATTCCATTTAAGGTGACTTATAGCCGGTCCTTCGGACAATTCAGCCTACGAATCGCGCCCTTCATCCTTGGTCTCGATGGCCGTTTGAGCCCATCTTCAGATCTCCTTCAGGCCACCTCAAATACGGACCTTCACCCACTCGGGACACTTGCCAAAACAGGATTCCCTGTTAGGTATTGCAGGTCCCTGACAGACCCAGATGCCCGTCTTTGTTTCCGGGACTCCGGCCAATGCAGATCGCGGGGCCCGGCCTGGCCCCTGCTTGGAAACGACTTCCTAGGGCTTAGGTGGACACGTCACCAACTGTTCGGTGTCGGTGATCTCCGGCCGACACAGATGCCCGCATTGTTTCAGGGTGTCCTTAATTGGTACAAGAGACCCTCTGACCGACATGTCAGGTCGTGGCCTCACGGGTCGGGATTCTTCATGGCGGCTTGTAGCCATCCATTCAGGCCCTTTCGGTCCTTCAGCCTTCCGAACGAGCCATTGATTGTTGGCCCATTGAGGTCTCTTCGTGGCCCCCCGAACACTGACTCTGGCCGACTTGGGCCCCCTTGCCAAACAGGAATCTCGGCTAGACGCTATGGGCTAGCCGATACAGGGGCTCCTCGGTGACTGAGGGTCCCGGCCAATACATATCGCGGGCTCCGCCCTGTCTTTGCTTCGGAAATATGCCCTCGAGCTCAGAACGACCGGGAGCCGATTGTTCGTTACGACACTGACCGGCATAAAAGCTCTGATCGACTCAGGGCTCAAATCGGCGCCAAGGTCCCTCTGGCTGGCATTTTAGGGCCTACCCTTTGGGCCATACCCTTTAATACTACCTCCGGCCAGCCCATCGACCCTTAAATGCCCTCAACCCTCGGAGTTGGCCCTTAATCGTCAGGCCCGAGGGTTCCAAAGGCCTCGAAACCTGAGGGGGGACGCGCCCTCCACCCCCTCCCCCTCTCCGTTTGCGCCACTGGCTCCCAGACCTGGCATATCAGCCCTGCTCAGTGGGTCACCGGCGACCGACGCCCGGACCACCATCACCGCATCATCAGCCGGCCGTCAAGGCGGTCCGCGGCCAGAGACGGCGGCACAGCCATGGGGATGGACCGCGGCCAGAGATGGCGGCACAGCCATGGGGATGGACCGCAGCCCGAGACGGTGGCACAGGCATGGGAACGGACCGCGGCCAGGGACAGCAGCACAGCCATGGGGATGGACCGCGGCCAGGGACAGCGGCACGGCCATGGGGACGGACCGCGTCCAGGGACAGCGGCACGGCCGTATCGAGACTTCCGTGTTGTCCGCGTAAACAGAGGATGGTTCGATGGAACTGAGACATCGGTCGGTTCACCTGAAGCTCGAGACCGCTATGGATCATATAATTCGAACGAGAGCTCAGAGGCACTGGCGTGCTCCAATCAAGACGGGTCTGGGCTCACAGCCTCCCGTGAGCGGGCTTATGGCGCTCCATCGCGGACTAGGACTAGGGAGGCTCGGCACCAAGGCGTTGGTGATTAACTAAAGTAAAATTCTGACACCGTGAAGCGCATGTGCAAGGACACATGATTTTAACTGACGAGAAGTGTCAACTGTCCAGGCAATGCCGAAGCACATGACTCTTCAGCATTCGACGCCGTCACTACCGTCGTGGCGCTGCCTGTTGGGTGTCATTCGCGTGATCTCATTATGAAATGTGTGCTAGCAGGTGTAGAGAATGGAGGTTCTTACTCCTCCCTCTCCTGGTCTCTGTCTCTCTTGCTACCCATCGCTCTATTCCTGTCCTCCTCGTCTCCCTCACTAATAACGGTGTGCTCCTCGTGGCGAAGCTATTTTCTTATAAGAGACATCCAGACGCGCAGCCAGAGCCTTGGCAAGGGGGAACACAAGGTTGGCAGGGGGCCCGCTGATAGCAAAAAGACCCCCCAAAAACGGCCGGCTATGGCCCATTTCTTAATGAGGGCATGTTTTTTATGCTATATATATATATATATATATATATATATATATATATATATATATATATATATATGTGTGTGTGTGTGTGTGTGTGTGTGTGTGTGTGTGTGTGTGTGTGTGTGTGTGTGTGTGTGTGTGTGTGTGTGTGTGTGTGTGTGTGTGTGTGTGTGTGTGTGTGTGTGTGTGTGTGTGTGTGTGTGTGTGTGTGTGTGTGTGTGTGTGTGTGTGTGTGTGTGTGTGTGTGTATCATACATTTCTACCTTCGATAACTGGAATACAAGCCAGACGCTACGGCGAGATCATCTCTGCCTGAACGTTATAGAACATTTTGTAAAAAAAATCATGCGTTGAACGACTGCCAGCAATAAATCGTTGGCCCTATTCATTTTACGATGGTACAATGCACTCTTTTTAAACCGATTGAACTCAGAAATATTGCCAGTTAAAGTTTCTGGTAAACTAAAAAAAGAATGCGGTGAACGACAACATGAAATAAATTGCTGGCCCTCTTCATTTTACAATAGTGCAGCGTGCTCCTTTTGAGGCGGCAGAACTCAGAAATTCTGTTAGAATTTTCATCTGGGCTGTAGAGTGTTGTCAAGGACCTCGCGAATGCATGTTGCGGTTCGAAATGGGTCAACAATTTGTATTACCATGGCCACAAGTAGTGATCCAAATTATGTGACGTCGTTTTGAGCATGCGCGCCCGCATATCTTAACAACAAAAACCTCATCGCCAGGCGTCGCAGTTTCCATAGGTGGTGCAACTTTGAAGGCTGTAGGACATGAAATCGTACAATTAGGATATATTCCGGCCCATATTTGACCAGCGCAATTTTTAGATTGATGATTCTAACCCATTGGCCTTAAGAGCACGGCGAATTGGTGCTGTAGTCTGCCGGTGGAACTCGATGAGTAAATGCAGAATCTTTATTTTTCGTGTTACTGCAACTGCCAATCTGCCCAGAGGACAGGCTCAAATATTTTTAAAGTATTTGCCCAATCTAATCTTTAAACTGTGCGAATAATTTTGAAAGACATTCCGAAACGTTAATTCGGGATGGTCGTTTTTGCGCGCACGGCGCCTGCCGCCTGGCGTACTTGCAGTGGCCAGAGGCGTTCGGTTTTTCGGAAACGGCAACGCAGACCATCGCTGTCCTTGCTCCCCGGGATTACGGGTGCGCAGCCTCAAACCTCCTGATGTAATTTGTTTCTTTAATAATGAGACCCTTTATTTCTTTCCGGGAAAGGTTCCGTTAAGAAGAACACAACGGAGCACATTAGCATTCTCGGAAGGGGCTGAACAGGCGGCGGGGGGGGGGGGGGGAGGTATTCTGGCCTCCGCAGGGTGTCTTACCGTTGTCATTCTGGTGACACGGGGCGGGATCCCTGGCCGACCGGAAGACGATTAGAGGAATATATCATATCACATTGATCTCCTCCCTGACGCGGGATGCCTTCTGACACGCGCAGTTGGCTCGGATCGACGCAGGAACCTTCAATGACTCAACAGCATCCCTGATCGCCGCAGGTGGTCGATTAATTGGTACGTAGACTCCAGTGAGGCTTAGCAGGCCCTTGCTAGAATTGGTCTGGAGGGCTCACCGTTCGATACTGGGGATCCCCACTGGCACAGGACCCTTCTATTGCCTCCAAAGGGGACACTCGTCATAAGTTCTCATGTTTCTTTTTATTGCCACGAGGGCCCCGACCAACGCAAGAGGACCTCTGTCATTCGGGACCCCGTCTCCGTCACTATTGAGCAAATCTCCCCCTGACCGACGCAAGGCCCCTTGTTGGCACAGTTAATACCCTGTTAGGCGTTGTGGGACACTGAACGATACAGGAGCTCCGACCAATGTAAATCGCGTGCCTGGATTTATCCCTGCTTGGGAAATGGGGCCCCCAGAGTTCAGACCAACGCGAAGTTGGCTGTCCGTCGTTTGTGATCTCTGACCGAGAGGTTTTCTAACTGACATTTGAGATCACGGCCCATGGGCAGGGTGTTCTTAATGTGACCTACAGCCAGCCCTTCGGACTCTTCAGCGTCCCAATCGGGCCCTTGATCTTTGGTTGCGAGAGACCTTTCGGCTCCTCTTTGGGCCCCTCAAAAAACGTTCCTATTCGGGGCGGCCTGCCGCCACAGGACCCCTGTAAGGTGCTGTGACCCCTGACCGTCACAGCAACCCTTCATTGTGTCATGGACACCAAACATTTTTCTAATCGGGTGCCCCGGTCACGCTCCTGTTGGAAAATAGGCCTCAAGAGCTCATATGGACATGGAGCCGATTGTGCGGTGTTCGTGGTCTCTGGCTGACTTGGACACTCGCGTTGCTTCAGGGGTTCCCCAACTGGTGCAAGAGGACCTCTGACTGATATATTTTAGGTGGCGACCTTACGACCCACGATTTTTTAAGTGACATACGACCGGACCATTACGACCCTTGAGGCTCTTATGTTTTCGAACCAGTTCGTGTTTATATTGCTCGTCGGTCCCGGTAGGCCGCCCGGGCTCCTCTTCGGGCCTCATCCAATACTTTCCTTGGTCGGCTCGGGACCGTTGCGAGCTCAGAGCCCTCTGTTAGGCGCTGTGGACCCCTGACAGATGCAAGGCCCCCGACCAGTGTAGATCACTGGCCTTGGCTATATAGCTGATTGGGAAGTGGGCCCTCAGGTCCACGCCAACACAGAGCACATTGTGTGGCACTGGTGGTGCCTGACCGACATATAGACCCATATCGACTTAGAAAGTCGCCGATCGGTCCAAAGGGCCTTCTGACTACTATTTGAGGGCCCGTCCCCGTAGGCCGGGGGTCCTGAATAAAACTTAGACCAGCCCTTCGTTCCTTAGACTCTCCAATTGAGCCCTTGATAATCGGACTTGGTGGGCCCTTTAGGCTCTTCTTCTCGGGCCTCCTCGAACAATAATTTTGGCAGAATCGGGGCTTGTCACCAACACAGGGCCTCCGTTAATGACTGTCGGGCCCAGCCATTTGCTGACGCCCAACCAACGTGAATCGCTGGCCCCAGCTTGGTTCCTACCTGGGAAATGGAGTCTCAGGCCCATGCCATCACGAAAGTGACCGCGTTATTGGTGACGTCTGACCGACATGTAGGTCCTTTTGACTCAATGGGCCCCTAATCAGCGCACAGGGCCCTCTGGCTGGCGTTGGAGTGCCCGGCCCTGCGGGCCGGAGCCCCGAGTGCGACCTCCGGTCGGCCTTTCGGGCCCTTAATCGAAGGTTCCGAGGGGGCACGTGCTTCCTGTGCCCCCCACTTCTGCCTGCGCTGCTGGAGAAATCCAAGACGGAAAACATGTGGCTTATTTTTCGTGTTTATTCAACAGTAGCATTACAACTGGACATCTCTTCAGCCACGGCCTGAGCGCTATTTTACCCGCCTTGCGAAGACAGAAACGTCCGCCACGCTTCCTCCACTTCTTGGTGCGGGTATCTACATCAGATCGACGAATGTTAGTGGCATGCAGTTGAGATCATATCGAGTGATTAAAGGGAGTGTTACCTGTGAACGTCTTCCCCCAAGCACCATGTGATGAACCCTCAATGTTCGCAACTGAACATGACACTGAACAATGAACCTTGGCCATCAAATGCACAACAAAGGTAAATAATCTGCTTAATTGTTTCCAATCCCACAATAAACAATCTAGATGCAAAGCCCACTGAATGAATAGTTTGGCCGAAGGATGGTAAAAACACAACAAAATCGGCGACTCATGCTTTATAGTGATTAGCAGATTGCAGTTTGCCCAGGATGGTACAATTCCACGAAAGTCATGCTTTAGCTGGCAAGCTGAACCGTCGAGGAAGAACTCAGCTGATGCGGCCCTGCCATGGGAGTCGGATACGACTAATCTAGACACCTACGAGCAATTAAATTGCAGGCAAAAGTCCCGCACTCCCATTGCAAATAGAAATGACCAGACGGATGAGGGACACGTTGAAATGGGATTAGAGTTGAGAAAAGAAGCCACTTAGAACCAGAGTGCTTTCGTTGTCTGCCAACAAAACAGGTGCGCAGATCACGACAGATACAGTAGCCCGAATACTGTTATTGCGTCATTCTGGACAGCTAGTCCTCATGAGGAAAATACATCACTCAGTTGTCCGCCGTAAGTTTGTATCTGGAACTCAAAAGTGGGATATGCTCCCATTTTTTGATTCCGGACTTTCCGCACAAGTTATGTTTAAGTCGTAGATAATTCACATGAGGATTCATTGAAAACGACAGCATTCTGCAGCCTGACAGCTACCGCGCTCGGCTATCAACAAGATGAATGAATGACTAGATGTATCACGCTAGGTTAACCATTCGATAGGCTGGTACTTCACATCCAACAGCGCCCAGCGCTAGCGCAACGGGCCCCGAATAGGAACAGCAACGGACCCACCGGGCCAGAACAACACACGTACCGTCAGACAAGAGATCTGCCGCGGAGGAATGGTGGTGGCGTCCCTGCCGCCCCCAACGCAAGTCAATCGGGTCTCCAAAGAGACAACACTATCGGTGAACTGTCACCACGGAAGTCGATCTAGAGGTCTGTAGCGCTTTGTCACATCGGTGGACGTGAGTCTAACGCGGTGGCGGCGGCACCTCAGCCTCACCACGGCCGGAGCTGGGCTCTGACCAAGGCCGGTCAGACTGGTCCGGGCCGGCCCGGGGCAGCATCGGGAGCGACCTACAACAACGCATGCACCACGGCGGGACGGTAGGTGGTCACGGGACGGATCAAAAGGCCCCGCGGGTGACCTGAGAATGCACATGATCCAGGACGGACGCAAAGAGGCCTAGGGCTTACCGGCGGCGCCCGAAGGAGGCAACCATCCCAGAGAGGCCAACCACGGACCTGCCACGCTGAGTTGTGGCAACACTGCTCAGTCCTTCAACAGACACTAAGGTCAGCGCGCTCGACACGGCGCAGGGTCGTCGCCGCGCTCGCCGGATACACACTGCGAGGCGGACAACGAACAGGTACGAGAGAAGCCCTGAAGCAGATGAACCGCAGGTCTAACCCAGAACCGACAGATGCACACGGCGCGAGCAGCGAAACAAGACCGCAGCGCAGAGGCCCCGCCACACGGCGTCATCTGCAAATCACCGACAAGACGCGACAACATCAACAAACACATCAACAACGGGGCGGACCGGCCCGCCATAATGCTCCCCAGATTACGAGATCGCCAGGGCCACGAATCGACAGCGCCAGCACGGACAAATTCCCTGCAGTAACCCTCACAACAGTGGACGGATCGCGTTTCCGTTAACGCCGGCTAGCTCGAAGGAGCCAGCGGCATCACCTGAGCTCCCGCGCGAGGAAGAGGCACCAGCCCGGCCTCCCGACCTCCGCCCGGGTCGCCCTCACCCGCCGCGCCCTCAGTTGGGCCACATGCAGCAGCGGCACATACAGAAGCGCCGCAGCAGCGCGGTCGGCGCGTCCTCGCGCCGCAGCCGCAGCCGCAGCCACGCCTCGCGCTGGCGGACGTACATCTCGGCCGGGATGTCATCGCTGCGCAGCGAGCCGCCCGACGAGCGCGCCGGCGCCGACGCCGCCGCCTCCTCCGCCGTCGGCGCCACCTGGTTGGAGCGCGGCTCGAGCGGCTGCCGCTGCAGCAGGTGCGCCACGCCCTCCAGCTCGCGCAGCGCGTCGGCAGCCAGCAGGTGGGCGCGCGCCTCGTCCGAGAGACGCGGGTGGCGGCGCAGCCAGGTGCGCAGCGCGCCCGCGTCCCGGCCCAGCTGGCGGGCGCCGGCCACGCTGTCGGCACGGGCGCACACGCGGTCAGGGCCGCGCGAGGGGAGCCGGAGGCGCGTGAGTGGGGGAAGCACACCCATTCTTCACAGATGCAAGTGTTTATAATGTTGATGATAACTTGCTGGCTTGTAATGATACGTAATCATGTAAGAGATGCCTGACAGCAGTTAGTGCCAGATGTCCAGAGACAGGCCACAACAGCATTACTTAAGTTAATAAAGTCCCGCAAAACAATGTCTGGTTAGAATAAAACACGAATTTTGGAGCAAGGCTGATGCACTCGTGCCACCGGCACCGGGGTACCTAGTGTAGTGGTTGAGCTGCGCATCTGAGAAACCGAAGGTACGGAGTTCGATTCTTCGCAGTGCCCGCCCTTCCTGTCAGCGTGAAAGACAGGGAAACGCCACACAGCCTGAGTAGCTGATTACGTCATCAAGCCCCAATGACGACGCCACCAGACCTGGCAACCAATGACTTAGAGAGTTTATTAAATGCAGTGACCATGTGAATTTTGAACGCTTATGAATCACCTGAGCATTTCACAGCTCCTGGTCGCCAGCCAGCCCAAAATTTCGCGAGCGCTTTCAGCCTGCCGCGGCGGCCATCCATGATATTGGTTTCTGTTTGCATTACCGCACCGCTCGCCTGCCATTTCGCCATAAATTCCACCAGCGTCGACACCGCCCGTCCACACAGGTTACCCGACCGTAACGCACCAGAAGCACCTCAGCTGGGACAGGCGCTTCCCATCAGTTCAGCGGGGGACATGTCGCAGGCAGAGGACTACAAAACGTGTCGCCACGCAGCGTCAGGAAAAAGCCAACAAATTCCACCATGTTGTTTGACTGTTTGCGGGGTCTTTTAAGCGCTAAGCGCATTCTACAGGTCGCAAGTAACCATGCACCTGCAACAAATAGTAATACCAGCTATATATACGAGGACGGCTTCTCATGTCCTCGTGTTTTCCCGACCAACCAACGGACATATCTAAGAGCGTATGGGAGAACTGTCCAAAGTGGCTTTCGTGAGCGCGCTTAACTTGATGAGGTGCATCAAACGCGGCTGCAAATATTACGTTATGCATGACCAAACACGACAACAAATCATCTGAGTCCACATTCAGAGCAATAATTCGCCAGCACGTCCTAGGCCGCCCGCATATTTCGGCTTATCGTTCAACCACGTTGTAACTTAAAACCGGCCACTTTATCACGCCAATGGGGCAACCAAACGTAATCACGAAATACCCACCGTGACTGACACGCATCATACCTGAACTTGATGTTGTGCTGGATGATGTACTCCATCCAGCTGTGGCAGGCGACCTTCACCACCAGGCCGCCGACCGTCAGCTGCAGGGAGCCGCCCAGCTGGCACACCGCGCGCAACACCTCCTCCAGAACGTCATCTGCAGCGGGCAGCGGGCCACGTGTTCACGCGCTGGCTCAGTACGACACACCCTCTACACAGCTGGGGTGGCAGGCGACCTTCACCACCAGGCCGCCGACTGTCAGCTGCAGCGAGCCGCCCAGCTGGCACACCGCGCGCAACACCTCCTCCAGCACGTCATCTGCAGCGGGCAGCGGGCCACGTGTTCACGCGCTGGCTCAGTACGACACACCCTCTACACAGCTGGGGTGGCAGGCGTCCGTGATGGTCGGTCCACGTCCTGCTGACGACCCCTCCTCCCCCACCTCCGTATTGAGGCTGGACAACCACATCTACAACCGAGAGTTATCTTCCAAATCTCATCCCAGCCGCGATCACATGCATAATTCGCGGTCGGCGTATAGCCTGTTTGTTAGATCTCTAAACCCATCTCAAAGGCAAAACACCGTATCTCATCCGTATGTGCTTTCGTCCCAAGACACGATGATGCTAATAATGATGACTATTAGGGCTTGTTGCTCCCTCTACGACATAACACAGCGACACATAACATTGGACGAACAGATATGCGCGCGGCGGACGTCTCACCGATGTACTGCCGGACGTAGTCGCTGGGCTGCGAGGCGGCCATGGCCGGCCGGCGCCAGTACAGCTTGCCCGGCATCAGGCGGTCCAGCGACGCGAGCGCCGTGCTGCGGCACGCCTCCGAAACAGACGACAGGCTGGCCGTCTGACACCCCTGCCGGGAGAGCGCCGATTTGTAACCACTGGGAGGGAGCGCTGCACGAGGTCGGAGATCGCTCCCATGGAATCAAATGGTAAACTGAGGGCGTGTTTCACCTCCCCTAGCTATGATGTAGTAAACAGATGTTTTGCTTTTATAGAAGTCGTTGCAATAATCTGCCAACTGTATTACAACAACACGTTTCATCCCAGCCTCACTACTCCGAAGCATGAATGACGACGATGACACGTTACAGCCAGGCTTCTATACAGCTGGCACCTCGCCCCCCCCCCCTTCAGCAGGCAGCAGCTGGCATAATCCTCCCCTCCATCGTAAGCAAGTGCACTTACCCTACCTGCAGTAGTGAATTTTGGCACAGTCACCTCTCACCTGCAGCTGCCGACAGAGCCCGTCTCTCACCTGCAGCAGCTGATAGAGCCCGTCCCTCACCTGCAGCAGCCGATAGAGCCCGTCCCTCACCTGCAGCAGCCGACAGAGCCCGTCTCTCACCTGCAGCAGCCGATAGAGCCCGTCTCTCACCTGCAGCAGCTGATAGAGCCCGTCCCTCACCTGCAGCAGCCGATAGAGCCCATCTCTCACCTGCAGCAGCCGACAGAGCCCGTCCCTAACCTGCAGCAGCCGACAGAACCCGTCTCTCACCTGCAGCAGCCGACAGAGCCCGTCCCTCACCTGCAGCAGCTGACAGAGCCCGTCTCTCACCTGCAGCAGCCGACAGAGCCCGTCTCTCACCTGCAGCAGCCGACAGAACCCGTTTCTCACCTGCAGCAGCCGACAGAGCCCGTCTCTCACCTGCAGCAGCCGATAGAGCCCGTCTCTCACCTGCAGCAGCTGACAGAGCCCATCTCTCACCTGCAGCAGCTGACAGAGCCCGTCCCTCACCTGCAGCAGCCGACAGAGGCCGTCTCTCACCTGCAGCAGCTGATAGAGCCCGTCCCTCACCTGCAGCAGCTGACAGAGGTGATCCAGTCGGCGGTCTGAGTCGGCGCGTTCCCTGACGGCCTCCTGCAGCTCCGGCATCGGCGACCGGACCAAGTCCAGCGGTGGAGCTGACTGTGACGGGACGACAGGGCGCCGTCAAACCGGAGAACGGCGAGCGAGATCACGCGCCATATGTAGAGTCGAGAGCATGCCACGCATGAGGTTTGAAGAGTACATCTGTGGGGGTGAGGGTCAGCGCCACCCCACCCGTTCCGCCGCCGTAGCAGCAACAGAAGGCAACAGAAGGACTTCAAAGGAAACCAGGGACGCCAAACCCGCAGCCTCAACAGACCACATAAATCTGAGATGGTTTCTTTCTGAAAACGCGCGGATCTGGGTAGCTTAGGCGCAGAAGCCGTGAACGACTTGCGTTCGCGTGCCAGTCTCCTGGTCACCTGCAAACACTAAACCGGGACATGGCTTACACACGATGCTATCTCCCTTTCACTTCGCAACGGCTCGTCGGCCGATGTACCGCGCTGCCTCGCTCTGGCCTCTACAGCTAGCTGTAACTCCGTCCAGCCGGGCCGCCAGACGACGCCCAGGCCCGGTTGCCCGGCGCACCACTGACGGCCGCCCGGCGATCGGCGACAGATGGCCGCCGGGAGATCACCTGCAGCGAGTCGAGCAGGCGCAGGCAGCGCGGCAGGTCGGCCATCGTCAACAGGAAGTACGCGGACGTCTGCCAGGAGGCGAGCAGCAGCTGACTGCGCGACGCCAGCCACAGGTGCAGCTGGTGCAGGCACAGCCGGCTGCCGGACGAGCGGCGCGGGCCGGGGGTAACGGTCAGTCGGGCCGGGGGTAGCGGTCAGCCGGGCCGGGGTAACGGTCAGTCTGTCCGGGGGTAACGGTCAGTCGGGCCGGGGTAACGGTCAGTCGGGCCGAGGGTAATGGTCGGTCGGGCCGGGGTAACGGTCAGTCGGGCCGGGGGTAACGGTCAGCCGGGCCGGGGGTAACGGTCAGTCGGGCCGGGGGTAACGGTCAGTCGGGCCGGGGTAACGGTCGGCCGGGCGGGGGTAACGGTCAGTCGGGCCGGGGTAATGGGTCAGTCGGGCCAGGGTAACGGTCGGCCGGGCCGGGGTAACGGTCAGTCGGGCCGGGGTAACGGTCAGCCGGGCCGGGGTAACGGTCGGTCGGGCCGGGAAAGCGGTCAGTCGGGCCGGGGTAACGGTCAGTCGGGCCGGGGTAACGGTCAGTCGGGCCGGGGTAACGGTCAGTCGGGCCGAGGTAACAGTCGGCCGGGCCGGGGACAGCGGTCAGCCGGGCCGGGGTAACAGTCGGCCGGCCGGGGTAACGGTCAGCCGGGCCGGGAAAGCGGTCAGTCGGGCCGGGGTAACTGTTAGTCGGGCCGGGGTAACTGTTAGTCGGGCCGGGGTAACGGTCAGTCGGGCCGGGGTAACGGTCAGTCGGGCCGGGGTAACGGTCGGCCGGGCCGTGGACAGCGGTCAGTCGGGCCGGCCGGCCCCCAGTGACGTCGGTGGGAGACGACAAGGTACGACGAGTCAGGGATGTCACTGGGTTCGGTCCTTATAACGCATATTCTTCATGAATGTGTTTAAGTGGGTGTAAGGTTTATAAAAAGATGGACTCTCATATTCATAAAGACAATTATAACCATTCCAAGACATATATAAGGGCTCATTAACAGTAAAAAATGGTCAAACTTGCCATTTCCTGATAAAACACTGGTAGTCATACACAAATCCCGCATCAGCATCACCACACCAGGGAGGCGCCAAACTGTGAGCCACCCGACACCCAGCAGCAGCCATTCTGAGTCGGTCCTCTCCCTGCCCACGCTCTCAGCACGACTCACAGCTGTCGCTGGAGCACCAACTGCAGCTGCAGCAGCGGCAGCAGGTCGGGGCCTTCCTCGTCTGTCGCCAGCGCGGCTGCCTGGTCCGCCAGCACCTGGTTCAGCTGTCCGACCAGGAAGGCCACGGCGTTGTAGTACAGTTTGCCTGCAGGACGATGAAGGAGACTTAAATTTTGAGGGGACAGATAGCAGTGGCGCCATCAGAAGGGGGAGACAGTGGGTTATCGGAAAGAATGAGACCAAGAAACACTAATATACCAGAAGACATCCCAGTGTTAGCCAGGGAAAACGACAGCAGAAGAATCCAACACGAATGCGACATCAAACCTATATTACTAGAAAATTACTTGAGATCACTGACAGATGTACAATATTGCGCAATGACTGCTGTCACTAGTAATGCTTTGACAATTACTGATGACATTCCGCAATGTGCGTTATCAAGCAATGCCTTGCACGTCCATCTTTACAGTGAGCAGTAAAAATCGGCGTTACACAAACGAGCCACTGCTCCACTGCATCCTGGCCAGATACCAGTTTGATGGCTAATACACACGGCAAGACACGGCATACAGCAACTCGAAAAACACAAAATTTATATCACGATGTGACGTCAATTTCGGAACGCATTCCCTTAACCAATTTGGAAATGTTAAAACAGTGCACATAGCCATTCAACTGAGCACACACATAGACTGTGGATGAGGCTGGACCCCACCAATGGCACTGACCGCACTTGGTGCACTGCTGGCCGCCCTCCAGCGGCACGGGCACGTGACGCGTGCTCTGGCCCTGGTGCAGCGCCGGCGCCAGCAGGAAGCAGGCGTACGCCGGCGCGATGTACAGTCGCAGGCGGCTGGCCAGGCCGGCCGCCGGCAGACCCAGCTCACACATCTCCTCTGAGAGGGGTGAAGGGGTCAGGGCAGGGTCAGGCCAAGGCTACAGTGTGACACTAGCAGGCACAGCTCCTCTGGGGAGTGACGGGTCATAGCAGGGTCCTCACACATCTCCTCTGAGACAAGTGATGGGGTCAGGACAGGGTCTTCACATAGCTCTACTGAGACGGGTGACGGGGTCAGGGCAGGGTCAGGCCACAGCTGCAGCGTGACTAGAGCAGGCCTAGCTCCTCTGGGAGGGGTGACGGGGTCATAGCAGGGCAAGGCTCAGATTACATGGAGACACTAGCAGACCCAGTTCCCCTGAGAGGGGTGACGGGGTCATGGCATTAAGGGCAGGGTTACACCAGGGCAGGGTTACTGTCTGGGGTGCTGGCAAGCCCAGCTCCTATGACAGGTGCATGGTCATGTGAGGGTGGGAGCAAGGTCGCGGCCTTTCCGTTCAGCCAGTCTGTCGTGGAAGTCAAAAAGCACTGCACGACGCAGGGCGAGCCGCACAACAACATCCGCATCAACAACACATCGCCGCGTGCATGGGCACGTGCAGTGGCACGGGCCCGACTTTGGGACAGCCCGGTGCCGGTCCGGCAGCGGGCGGGAGACATGCCAGCTTCCGCAGCTGACCTGAGAGCAGGTCGAGCACCTCGCGCAGCCAGCCGAGGGCGGCGGGCGCGCCGCAGACGGCCAGCGCCGGCTGCCGGGCGGCGGCGGCCGGCCACAGCAGGCGGCGCGTCAGACGGTCGCTCGCGGTGTGCCACACCGTGTCCCGGTACAGCCGCACCAGCCGCCGCCGGCCGCCGCTGGACAGACGCTCCTGCCGGCGCGCGCCGCCTTGCCAACGCCTCATACGCACAGCCAGCGCCAGGGGCGGCGATATCACAGACGTCAGCTCACACGTGACGTATGAACAGTAATCAGGACCACAGAGGAGCACCAAGCCGCTCCTGAATATCCGAGACATAACCGCTGAAGCCAGATGGCTACACCAACGCAACAGCGCGCGTCAAATGCTCTTACCAGGCCGACCTCAGCCCACCAGCGGCTACGAGCCGGTCATCAGCCGCGCTCGTCAGCGGGCCGCAGCTTCCCGGTTTACCTGCGCCGCCAGGCCGCCGACAGCGCCAATGGGCACTGCCAGCAGCAGACTGTGCACGGCGTTTTCCTCGTGCCGGAGCAGGCGGTCCAGGTCAGGCGGCGTCTCGGCCGGCTCGCCAGCATCCGCCTCCCGCTCGCCGCCGCTCGTGTAGCCCGACGTCGGCGAGCTGCGCTCCACCTGGATGGTCGGGATGGGTGGCAGCCGGAGCGCCGGCACCGAGGCGTCAACGGCAGCCGGCGCCAGCTCGTGAGGCGGCCAGTGGCGCTGCAGGCTGACGTCCAGGTCCAGCGCCTGCGCCATGCGCAGTTCCAGCGCCGCCGAGAGCAGGGGCGCGCGCACGCGGCCGAGCCGCTCGCACAACCGCTCCAGGGATGGCGGCGGGCCGACCTCGTCCAGGCAGAAGGTGAGCTCGAACAGCCACAGGCCGGGCAGGCGCGGCCCGCCGCGCCGGCCGGCCGCCAGCAGCGCCGTCTTCGCCTCGTGCACGGCCGAGACCACGGCCAGCAGCTTCTGGAAGTGCGTCACATCCGCCTCGCTGTAGGCGCGGTGGGCATTGAGCGCCAGGAGGAGCGAGACGGCCGCGTCCAGCGCGCGCACCAGGCCGGCCAGCGCGGCGCGCGCCGCCGCCTGGTGGCGTAGCAGTCGCTGCCAGAGGTGCGCGCGCAGCCGGCCACGCAGCGCTGCCAGCCGACGGCCGAGGCGGGTCCAGCTGGCGCAATGACGCCGCAGCTCGTCGGCCAGGCCGTCCTCAGCCAGGAAGACGCCACTGAGCTGGCCGGCCGACAGCGGCGCCGGCGGCCGGGCGGCGCGCTGCGCCTCCAGCTCCTGCGCCAGGCTGGCCGTCAGCTGGCGCAGGTGCTGTGTCAGCTCGGCCACTTCGGCCGTTGTGCCCACCAGGCCAGCCAGCACCTGGCTGAATGAGCCCAGGCTTGGGGAGCTGTCACCACCACCACTCCCATGGTGCTCCTCACGAGTGGTGATCATTCACCTGGAACTAAACAGATGAGATCAGAGCTGCACATATTGCTATTACTGAGACAAACAGAGGTAAAATTCCAGGAATGATTTATGGAACAATTTCTAAATCAATGGAGAATTATGGTGGCTGCAGAGACTTAAGTAAAAATTGTGTGGCTTCAGCAAACAAAAATTGCATTATCAAGTCAAATGGATAAAAAACTGCAAGGAAAGCTATAGGCCTACAGCTACAAATAGCTTACCTTTCATGATGCCACTCCTATATTGTTGAAAACTTATGGTGGTATACTGGTGTTGAGTCCTTTGATGCAGATTCTGTCCCTGTTCCACCAAATGACAATTTCCAAATGATCTTATTTGGTAGTTTAAGACTGTAAACATACCATTATTGTCAAACACCAGTACCATCTTTGCAATGCAGATGGCTCATAGACATCAGTTTTGGTAGGTTTCTTGTTCAGAACTGACTCTCATGCACACTGTGCATTATACAGTGAATGTATAAGAGCCTTAGCGAACAGAAGATAGCCAGAAATATCCCTGTGATAGAACGCCTAGCCAGAAATATCCCTGTGATAGAACACCAAACCCATAAATAAAGAACCAAACCTATAAATAAAGAATGACAAAAACATTGCTACACTGCAGTGATTGCTTAGTAAGGTAAATATCTATATATTATGAGGTAGATAGATATCCATGTTAAGTTAGGAGCTGTCATACTCATGTGACAACTGGCAAGGATTCATCTATCACCTCTTGGACACCACAACTTATCATACTACCATTGAAAACACAGCAATGACATGAACAATGAAATTCCCTAGTATCAATGACATGTATCAATAGAGCACAACACATGTCTAAAATACCCCAGATTCACAGCACAAAAATTTGTGAAACAATAGCCTGATAAAGTGAGGTGCACACCCACAAGTTGAAATAATACATAAATGAAAAATTAATAACAACATAACAACATGTGTAACCTATGGCTTAAAATCTGGTGCTACACAACTTCCACTACATAGAAGGGGCAGATAGCCTCAACATGTGACAAAGGGCATAAGTGCATGACACAAGTGACAAGTGACAGTCTCATTATGTGACAAAGTGCATAGGTGCTCAAAATGCATAGTCTGACCAATAACAGAAATGTTGTCATGTATTGTGATCTCTCAAATTGTCACGTATAGCGATATCATGGCAGGCCAAGAATATACCGCTTGGATCACTACTCTAAGCACTAATGATGAAAAACACATAAGAATATGAGCATCATCATAGGAACACATGTTTAAGGAATTCACAATATTTGGCCAAATCAAATCACAGACCATGTCTGCAGGTGAACTCCACAGACCAGCCATACATCACATGCCTCGGTGAGCCATCCCCCACCTGAGGACTCAGGGGCAAGACTCATCGAAGTATGCGCACGGAATGCCAAAAATGTTAGAACGTCACGGCTGCGCAGTTGTTGTCTATTCTGGACGCCATAAAATCCAACTGACGGCGCAGTTGGAGTGAATATCGGCGGCCAGTTTTAGCGGTGAATTGCGGCCCATCAACGTGAATGACAACGATAATAAAACAAGCGTAGTCCTTGATCACTGAACTTTTTGGTAGCGGTGTATGAAATAAGCAGGACTCGACTAGTAGCTTACGAAAGAATATCATATTTCTGGTATACCATCCAGAAGAACCTTTAAAATTCCAAGGTCCCTGAATCAGCGCTAAACTGACGTAGACTTGCGGGTTCGTACACTGCTCGTTGGTTTCGGGACGTGGGGCCGGGGCCGTGGTAGGAGGTCTTAGGGTCCGTCTCGTGGAGGGTCTCCGCTACCAGTGTTCCAACGTTTCTGACGTGGGGGCCCATGGCCTTGGCGCACCATTAAAGTTGTAGTCTAGTTTTGAGAGTTTTCTTGAGTCCATGAGGGTTGAAATTCCATTTTTTGACAGATTTGCAGGGCAAAAAGCCGTGAAAAGCATGGGAAAGCAGTCCCGATTTGACATGAATTAGATACGTCGGTCGGCAAATTGTACGTGTCATGTAAAGATACCAAAACAAAAATATTTTACTTCATTTACACAGCCCTCTTCAGAGATATTGTGATCTGTTGTTAGTGGCTTGCTATGTGTGTTATCTGAATTGCTAATGTGCTGCTGAACTAATGCTTAATCCGTTTAATAGAGCATGTTTACTGCATTACACTGCTGTGATTTTGTTTCAGGTATTCCAACAGGATCAGCCAACATGAGCATTCATTGGACTCTCATTGCTGGATTTCTGTATGCTGAGATAGCAGCAGTCTTGCTTCTTCTTTTACCCTTCTTATCTGCCAAAAGGTAATGTTGTAGTCTGTTTTTTGTACAGTATCCTAAAGCAGCATCTGTATAAAGTTTTGATGGGTCATTAATTCAGCTGCATGATTGATGGTTAGCTCCTGCATTGGTGGATAAGATGATATGTATATTTTCTATATAGAGTGAGTTGGTGGATGAAAAATTGTGGTACAGAAGTGATATACTCTCCTCTCTCTGGTCTTGTGCTCCAGTGCCGTGCTTGCGTAGGTTAATTAAAAAAATATTGGTGCTTTTGCCATATAATGGAAGCTTCAGTCAATATGTTGATACAATTTTTGCAGTATATGGCTGTGAACAGTTGGAATCTTGTGGGCTTGCCTTGATTTGGAATGAAATTGTGTGATTGGCTCATGTGCTTAAATCTTGGTAAGCATCGGAAATTCCATCCAACATTGCCACTCCCATGTAAGCCTATGATGCCACATAAGCCCTAATGTATTGGGTCATTTTGCCTTAATGTCTGAGCCAAAAAGGGATGAGCTGGAGCTGTATAGTTCTGTGACAAGGCCTCTTGTGTGTCACAGCTCCCTGGTAAAGCCAAACTGTTTTGTCATTGCAGATGGAATACCTTCTTCCAGTCACAATTTCTACGAGCGATTGGACGGCAGTCATTTTTCTACTTCTGTGTTATAATAGTGGTGCTGGTCCTCTCCTTCCTGGGTAAGGTTTTGGTGGTTTTTGACTCCTGGCTGTGTATTGGGAGGAGTAACAGTGTGCAGACATTGATGCATCCTTTGACCAAACAGTTGATGTAAATATACATGTACCCCTATAAGTGTAGAATGTTACAGAACTGGGATCTCATGGTTTACACACAATGTGTGGACTTCTTCCTTTTTACCGGTCTGCCATAACACACAATTACATCTGGGAGCAAGACGTTTTCGGCCGTGGGTGTCATATGCGGCGAGCGCGCCCGCGTGCTGACTGCCCTGTCCTGCTGCAGACGCTATCCGGGAGATGCGCAAATACAGTGGTGACTTCAAGACAGACGACCTGGCCACTCACAGCCACCTGGACGTGGAGATCCAGCACCACATGCGCCTCTTCAGGGCACAGCGCAATTTCTACATCTCCGGCTTCGCGCTCTTCCTGTTCCTGTGAGGGCCAAACCGGCGGCCGGTCTCCGTGTTGTCAGTGTGGCTGAAGCTCTGACCGCAGAGTGCTAGGCTGTCTTCGGGGAAGGTTTCGGTTCGTTGTATGCCTGTGAACGAACCTTGGTGTGCTGTTTAAAATGCATGCGCTCTGCACGGAATGTGACGTCATTCCCTGTGGTTCGTCATTCTTCGGTCATGTCCTCTATAGCCTTTTATAGTGTAGTACAGTCATCCCCTGCAGGGTATTGTGAGCAATATGTTTTTTGCGATTTTCACATCGCCTTGAAGGGTATATGCTCACTGCCAGATCCTTTACCCTGAGCGTTAATTCAGCTGCCGTAATCGCCTGCTCTCTATAAAGAGGGTGCGTGACGAGTGTCGTGTTCCTCTCAACAAAAATTGCGATCGGGATTGACAGGTTCCAAGTTAAACTCAGTACCGCGGTAAATTTCACGTGCGCCTTCGCCATTCCCGGGCGTGACCTGACGTTCGAGTGACGTTGCGTTCTGTCCGTCGCCAGGGTGCTGCAGCGCCTGGTGACGCTCGTGCTTCACCAGGCCTCGCTGGAGGCCTCCAACGAGGCGGCGCTGCGCCAGGCGACCAGCGCCAGCAGTGCCGCCCAACGGCTTTTGGAGGGCCGCGACCCTAGCTCGGGCGGCGACGACCTGAGGTCGCTGCGGCAGCAGCTGGAGGAGGCGGAGGGCGAGCGTGACGCGGCACTGAAGAAGGCCGAGATGCTGCAGTGCCAGGCGGAGGCCACCAGCCGCGAGTACGACCAGCTCATGGAGGAGCACGCCCGTCTCCAGAAGCAGACGGCCGCCGGCGACAAGAAGGACGACTGATCGGCGGGCGGCGCACGTGCCGCCGCCGGCTGGGCGCGGAGCGGCGTGACACAACGGGCTGCCGATACCGCAGCGACAGAGCAAGGTCACTGTACACTACTAATAGCGCTGTCTGCGCGGGATAATCAACCCGGCTGGCTTTGATGACTGTGATACCCAGCATGTGCTCTCCGTGACCGCGCCTGCTTCCGTTCGGTGTCTGTAGGCTCGACGGATGCTCCGGTGTCTTTTTCGCCGAACGCCTGCCAATGGCTCATGCGGGTTATAGCGAGCTGGGACGGAGATGAGGAGTCTTGCGGGGCGGCGCGCTATTGCCGCTTGTCTTGGGGTGTGGTCCGCCCAGCTGCCGCGCCTTGGCGGAAATGGATGCATGCATTGCGGCCACAGCTCGTGGATTAACTTCTTGAATGTGAGCGCAGTGTAAGTGCTCACGCGCCTTTGCCGTGCTGTTACTTGATGTTGAGAACCCTTCGCGTAAAGTGGACACCGAGTGCTTGGGCCGGCTTTGTATGTGTTCGTCTCGGTGTGATACTCACCACTTACAGTGCAGTGTTTGTGTTCAGCCTTCGCTTTGGTCGATACAGTGTGCGTGTTCCCTGAAATACATGACTCCACCGCTGACGCCAACTGTCTAGTTTTCTTTCGGGCGTGAAATTCCAATGTCGCTAACCCCGTGCACCAGCTGAGAGCGTCTGTGCCAAATACCGTGACGCTGCACAGCACGCTGTCGCATGTGGGTCACCAGCTCTGGGCTCTGCATGGAGCGCGCACGAATATCATTCTGTGAAGTGTCCTGGCCACCAAGCTCATCACCCTTAGGTGCTGAAAACTCGGCGAGTTTTTCGGCGCTTCTCCGCGTGGCTGGCGATGTAAAATGCGTTCTAGGGTCATGTTAAAATGCAGTCAGCAGAAAGAAAGCGACTACGTGCGCAACGTGGTCTTGAGATTTATGGGGGCTCGAGTATACGGTCACACACGCTGACAAAGCAAATTATTAGCGGGTACGGGACCAGCTGCTCCTGTTTGTCCATGAAATAAACCCAGCGGTAAAATCGGTACATTTGAGTTTTACACCGGCAATCAGTAAAAATGCTAAATCGATTTTCGCATTTTTTCGTTTTTGTGTGGGTCGGGGTTGCGATGGAATGGGGTTTCGTAAAATTATCGTTTTTTGTGCTCCTGAAACCTGAAAGTGATGTGTCACCTGAAACAAATATGCAAAATGGCATGTAACGCCCACCGGCAACGACACATTTACTTCGAACCACCAATGTCTGCCAAGGCAGTTCACGCCAAGGCCCAGTCCACGGTCAGCCCATACCAGCGGCCCCTTCAAAAACGTCCCCAAATCCGGACATCGGTGCTGCAGGTACCGACCTGAACACGTCAGATGGATTATCGAACGCGTTCGTCGCTCCGACGCGTGAGCAATACGGTTGTTCAGCCTCCGTCGGCAGTTTCCCACTTACCTACCCCAATGCCGACATTCATCACATCAGGCATGTCGCATATTCCAATCATTAAAGCTTCGCCGACACACAGGCCTCATCGCCCCCTGGCGGCGGTACCGATTGCGGCTCTTGCTGTCCCTGGCGGCGGCGCCCGAAGCTGTCCTCCGAGCTGAACGGTGCCGCTCGTAGCTCCGTGGCCTAAACAGCCCTGCCGGGTCACATCTAATTAAGTCGATTTTCATCCGATGCTCGCTTTACCATTGCGATCGACGAGGCAGTCAGCAAAGACGATGTGCCGAACTACTACAATTTGGCGTATTTTAAGGTTACGGGCAGCTGAGTTAAAGGCGTTGGCTGTCGTGTAAATTAGGCCGGGTAAGACGTTCCTTCCGTAAGGGTCAGGTATCTCACCAAAATTGGTGTATCACTGTCCGCCGCATGTCGCGTGATGGGCTGATCGAGAAACAACCCATCCATTATTGTGAGATGCTTATCTTTTGGAGTTGCGCCCACGACAAATTAGTTTCATAATAATCTATAAAAATACCCATACAGAATAGCATGGCAATCAATGATAACGATCTGGCCCACCTCTTTAACTGATTCTAGTTGATGGGTCAAGACTTCAAACACGTGGACCGCCATGCAAACCAGGCAACTTGCAGCAGCCATTTAAAAAAGAAATGATCACAGCAAGCGTGCCGTTTGTAAAAAAAAAACAAACCAACCCAGATGTCTGTCAAGGCAGCCCGCTCAGGCGTGTAGAGGATTGCCTGGGCCTCCGCTGGGAGCCTCTGGGGCACCTCTGAGTTTTCAGAAATACAGCCATTTGAAGGAAGTGTTCTCGAGCTTGCCTTCGGACTCTCTCAGACTTGACAGTGTATTCTCTGGTGTGAACCAGATCTTAGTCCTCAATGCTTGAAGGGAGGCGAGTCTCCCTCGCCCGCAGCTAAAGCAAATGAAAACGGCTGAGGCGAGAATGGCGCCGCTGAACATGACCAAGCGTCCCCACAGGCTTGGGAATGTACCGGCAGGCACAAACGGACACCCCATGCTAAGAACTTCGCCACCAAAGACGGGGGATAGCCATTGTTGCATATTTCTTTTATATCCGCATAGATGCGGTCAATTTCAAATTTTACAAAAGTTGAGAGCTCGGCCCCTTTCCCTCCCTCGTTGATCTCCGCGCCACTGGCCTTGAGCACGACAGTGTCCTAAGTCTGCTGTATAAGGTCATTACGATGGAAAGCACGGTGTAAGGTCGCTACGGTGTAGTGGGGCATTCAAAATGCATTAAACCAGTCAACATGAAAAAGTGCGCTTGTCTCGCCATCACTCGGAAAAAATATACGGTGTGTTCATAATCAGGACCCCGGTTGCGGAACATCTCAAACACGGGAGGAACTATACTGCCAACCAAACCTGCTATCAACCCTATGCTCTGAACCTATAGCGCTGATCGACACCGAAGCTGCATTATTCGACAACGTTTGGTCGATCACCTTTTATTTCCAGAATGCAACAGCAGAAAATCAGGTCAAAAATCACCAAAAATACCAAAAACCGGGAAAATATGTTTGACCGACCGAAAAAGGACTTGGGACCTGGGAAAAGGGAAAAGGACCTGACCTAAGGTCATGATTGTCTGAAAAGAATTGGATATAGACTATGGCACATAAATTTATGCAGTTTTCATGCTGATCTGTCTGATAGGCTTGGAGCATGGGTTGTCTGCAGCCAATTTGGGTATTTTTGGCTTTTTGGTGGCCTTTGACCTGACCCAAGGTCACCACGTTCTGCAAAGGATGGGATTCCGACCACTGCGCATGCTACGACGCAGATGTTTTCATCGTTGTCGGGCTAAAATAATCAGGTCAAGTTAAGCGAGATCGCGTCAGGTCAGGTTCGAATATTCTATCTCCATGCCATCTGGAGTATAACAAAGCTGTTTCAAGTGTTACGCTGAAGTGCCAAGCGGCGATAACACTTAACACTTTTAAGGGCAGCAGTCCAGTGCTGTTGACTTGAACCTAGCTCGCATCAGACCAGGCCGTGAAATGTCAGATAGGCCGGTTGCCTCCACTTTCAAAAGAGTGTCCCGCCGAAAAGTATTTCCAGCAACTCAAAGTGTCTTCCTAGCTGGCGTAAGCTTGGTCAGAAGTCATCAGATCAAGCCAGATGGGGTCGGGTGTCAAATAAGACCCGGTCAGCTGAGGTCAGGATATTGTGCCACAAGTTGCGTTAAAGGACGTCTTAGGCCGAACACGACCCTCGACAGACATTTGAAACATAAGCATGCGTCGGACATAAACTGGCGCATAATGTGACCTACGCACGCTGCTGGTGATGATAATAAGATCTGATGATGAACCAGCAAGAGAATGTGAGGCAGTGCCGATTCCCACGTTTTCAGGGAGAGATTAGATTAGCAGCTGTTTCTGCTCCACTGCTCTTTTGGAGACAGATCGCTCAGGTGTGGATTCGCACTTCAGCCCCACTAGTATTATAATCGTGTTTCCATGGCAATGTTTTTAAACTCTCTAAGCCATAATACATGGAATTCAAACTGCTTCTTCGGGTTTCAGCTAAGCAATAGGCGCCAGAAAGATGAGAAAGTTCCAGAGTGTGAGATTTATGAAGCCCTATTGGTTCTGTATCAATTGCAATGGTTCCACTGTCCATGAGGTTGTATATACATGTCCTTTAGAACGACGTAGCTACCAAAAGGTTTTAAGAACCTAGAAACATGCAAAATACTTGGGCCCATGTGAAATTGCATTCTGCTCACCTTATTGTAATGCTAAGGCAATTGGTGTCACCACAATCCAGAGCCCCACTATGAGTGGTATATATACATATATATATATATATATATATATATATATATATATATATATATGCATAAAAATATATAGGATAAGTAGTGACGTAAAAACGATGCAAAAGCACTGTTCACTCTTGCATTTTTGGACAGGGGAATAATTTGGTATGCAATCTCAAATGCATCGAAACAGAAGACCTGAAACAAAACGTAAGGTTTATCGTCAGGCTATTCAAAAGCGCCGTAAATGCCTCCTCCACCGGGGTGTTTGTTTCACCACCACACATCTATCAGTCATTTCGCATTGCGCTACATCATGATTTAGTCACACCGAGCCAACTTGCAAGGGTAAATCAGTACATGGTGATAAAACAAAAATACTTCCAGAGTAAACATTTATGAGCATTTTGTTGGCCCGACCACAAACAAAGTGTCCGCCTCTTAAGGTCTTATTTGCTGTGCAAGCACATTTGATACCCATTTGGGTCCTTATGAAATAAGTTATGCTGGCGCGAAATGGGCTCAGGTTATATAAATGGGCATGCGTCACCGTTCCACAAGTTTAATTCAAGGCCGATTTTTCTAGAGGCCAAATGTTCTATGTTGATCATTTTTTATCAGGTTTGAGACGCCAAATGGCCTCCGCTGGCGATGTACCGGAAATTCAGAGAATGTTGACCATTTCTCCAAAGTGAGACGTTCCTTCGTAATGCATGAGGGCATTGATGACGATACTGTACAGAACCAAAGATGCAATAAATCATGGATGTTTCATCTACTTTGCCATGATTCAGGCGGGTTATCTGGTTTCCAGAGACGTTTTATTTTGAAGGAATTTGCAATGTTTTGACGTCTCTATGTACACACCTAATACATTGTTTTAAAGGTGAAAAGTTAATGTGACGTTACGATGACAAAATGGCAATGGTGCACACTTAACACGCACCCGGGTGGGGGTCAATGTCCTTCGGGTAAGGTCCGCCCGAAGGTTTTTGCGCAATGATTTCCAAACGACGTGGTGTAGCTGCGCCAAATTTTTCATAGTTATTGACAGTTTAGCAGCGGATCGTTTGGTATCAGAAATTTAGATGTGCCTTGAAAGGTCACTGACCTTTCAAATGACTGGCCAAATGTAGATCAACGTCAGGCCATGGACTCAGCGAAGACAATTTCTAGATAACACTTAAATCTGATGCAACAACGAAGTGTTAGACGAAGCCATAGGCATCTGTGATAGTTTTATAGGCAACAGAGCAATCGAATTAACAAATTGCATTGACCTAGGGTCAGGTATGAAGGTCAGACCAAGGCCAAGACCAATGTGTTTTATTACTTTAGAGCTTGCTGTG